TACATTGCAATCCAGTATGGACAACTGGAATTAAGTTTCACAAAACTGTTTAGCCCTTACCTTGTATGATGTATGCTGGCTTTTTTTCCCCCTTTTTTCTTTCTTTTTTTTTTTTTTTTTTTTTTTTTTTTTAGTCAAAGTCTCGCTTTGTTGCCTGGGCTAGAGTGCAGTCCTGGCATCCTAACTCACGGCAACCTCAAACTCCTGGCCTCAAGCAATCCTTTTGCCTCCCCAAGTAGCTGGACTACAGGCATGCACCACCATGCCCAGCTAATTTTCTATATATATTTTTAATTTTCCAGTTATTTCTTTCTATTTTTTAGTAGAGTTAGGTCTCGCTCTTGCTTAGGCTAGTCTCGAACTCCTGAGCTCAAGCAGTCTCCTGCCTCAGCCTCCAGAGTGCTAGGATTACAGGTGTGAGCCACAGCGCCAGCCAGTCTCTGCCTTTTGATTGTAGTGTTTGCCATTCACATTAAATGTAATTATTGATAATGGTTGCGTTTACATTTGCCATTTTGCTATTTGTTTTCTATATGGTCTACTATCTTTCTTGCTCCTCTATTTTCCTTTACTACTTATTCTGTGTTAAATATATGTAGTTTAATGTACCGTTTGGATTCTTCTCTTGTTTAACTATCTTTTGGGTTGTCATAACATGTATGGATCAGTGCAATTCAGGTTACTGCTAACTTCTAATAAACTATAGAAACTTTTCTCCAATATAGCCCCAATCACTTCCCCTTCTTTGTGCTGTTTTTATCATATATATTACTTCTGTATGTGTTAAAACCCAATAATATAGTGTTTTAATTATTGCCTTATACAATCATATGTCTTAAGGAAGTTGAGAGAAGAAATAAGAAAGCATAAGCCTATAGAGTCTTTTATTTTAAACCCACCACGATTCACGCATCTTGGACTATTCATTTCTCCCTACTGAATCCAAGTCACCATTTGGACTCATTCCCTTCAACCTGAGGATCATTTTTTATTTTCTAATAGAAAATGTGCTAGCAACAATATCTCTAGTCTTTGTTTATCTAGGAACATTTTTATGTTGGCCTTCATTTTTCAAGGATAGTTTTGCTGGATATAGAAATTACTTTGTTCACCTTTTTTTTTTTTTTGTCTTCAACAAACAAAAAACAAAGAAGAGAAAAAAAAAAACGAAATAACAAAAAACAAAAACAAAAGAAACAATAAAGAATAACAACAAAAAAAAACAAAAAAAA